GGAGAATGGGGATTCAAAGCATTAAAACAGATGATAAAAATAAATTTCAAACTGGTAAGATGTGTATCATTTTTACTTGGGTTTTTCCTGTAAGAACTAAGCCACATCAGAATGGGAGAAAATGGTCGTTAGCAAAGTATGACCCCTTCAAAATGAGTGGAAGAGCACTTGCAGAAATTCAAGGCATGTATCCAGTTACACAGGGTTTGCCCTATTTTTAAATTTACTAACTAGACTCATCTTCAGTTTGAAATACGTTGTTATAATTCATAAATATTTCTTTTTCTGATAAAGACTAACTTTCCTGAAATGATGAACAGATATAAACAACTATTGACCTACATACGGAGTGCGGTCACAAGGAATTATTCAGAAAAATCCATCAATTCTATTCTTGATTATATTTCCACTTCAAAGCAGGTTAGATTATCTCTCCTTTCAATTTCTAGAAGTTGCACCTTCTTGAAAAACCGTCTCTCTGAATGTTACAAATGCTGCTTTATTTCATATATTATAAAAATAATTGTTTCAAGTTAAACAGAGAGCAGTTCATCACAAAATAGAGAACCATTTATTTATTTACCATTTATTACAAGAACTTGCAAATCGCATGGAAGAAAAATCCATTTATTTTTATAATCTATTTCTCGCATGCAAAAACATAGGAGGAGTAAAACATGCTTTCATGTACTGGTTGTCCCAAAAAGATTGCAGGTCCTTGGGATAAAAGGGATTTTTTGAAAATATCAAATAACTACTATAACGAACCTGAGAGACTGAATTTGAGAAATTTAGCAGAATTATATCATCTATATAGCATTAAGATATAACCATCTTCAGAAAAGAAATTACGCCTTTCAGTATAGCATGTGAGGTGGTGGGAGATATATATATATATATAGATAGATATATCATAGACCAACTTTTAATTTAATTTAGTTGTATGATATCAGTTTTTCTTTCATAATATATAAGATTTCAAAGACAAAGATGTAATCAAGATACTTAAGTAGATATGGAAAATCATTTGACAGCTGTAATCTTGCTCAACGCTAAAAAACGTCCTGTGTTTTAACAACTGCCATTATGTAGGGCATTCCCATACCAAACTCTGTGATGGTTACGCCATGTCTTTGAGATAGTTTTAGGCTATTTCCTTAGCTTGGTTTGTTGTTCAGTGCCGTATTATTTTAAAAGGTCTAAGACTCTGTTTAGTTTTGCTTCTCTTGGAAAACTGTTAAGTAGCACCATTTTTAGCACAAATATTTTTGATTTTGCTGTTTTCTCCCTCTTTCTCATTAATTGTTCTTTTCTCAATGTTTTAAAACTATAATGTGGAAATAATATTGAAATTGAAATAAGGCCAAGCACCTAGAGTAGCCCCAAGGTGAGATAGGCAGCAAATAAATTGAATAAATAAATGAATAAAAGTGAAATATTGCTGAATGTGTGTACTGGATCTTCAAACTCCTAAAATACCTTCCTCCTAAAAAACCTGAATTGGACAATATATGATTCTGCCATTGGCATCTGTGTTATTTTCATGGGCAGAGTTTTCTTAAGTCTTCCTTATTTCAGACCTGAAAATATAATAGCTGTTTGATAGAGAAATAAACATGGCACTAAAAAATTATGAAATCAGTGTTTCTACTTGAGCAACTTAATTATAGTTGGACAGCAATGTATCTCACTGGAGAAAAAAAAAAGCATTAGTCTCTTTTTATTACTTTTATTTGCCCAATATAGGGTGATAATTTTGTAGATGCCAAAATAAAAGGCACTTGGGAATTTGTAACTTCCGTAGCTCAAGCCAAATCATAGTATTATTTCATGAAGCACTAAAACACTCTGACCATGAAACAGATTTCCACAAGTGCCTGGAAAAAGAGTTTGAAAACCCACATTATGATGATCTTGTTATGGTTTGTCAATGTTAAAAATATGCACATCTTAATGCAGATATTAGAGTATAAGTTTTCAAAGTTGCACTTTGGGTGTGTTCATGTTGACTTTATTAACAGGCACAAATTTGCTGTTTACAATTATAGAATTCTGATTTTTTATGTCAGATGGATTTGCTTCAGGAATTTTATGAAACAACACTTGAAGCACTGAAAGATGCTAAGAATGATAGGTTGTGGTTTAAGACAAACACAAAGGTAAAATGACCAATCTGGGTTTTTTGTTTTTTGGGAATGTTACAATTTTTAAATATATATTTAGGATTCTTTCTTTCTTTTAAAAAAAAAATCACATTTTGCTTTACAGCTTGGCAAATTATATTTAGAACGAGAAGAGTATGGCAAGTTACAGAAGATTTTACGGCAACTCCATCAGTCATGTCAGGTAAGGTGCAGTTTGTTCTCTGAGTCTGTTTCTCAAGTGGTTGTAACTCTCTTGCCTGCTGCAATCCTTTGTAGAGTATTTAAACAGCACAAGCATTTATTGGACAACAGGATAGCAAGGACGGAAGTGGTTTGGCAGGCATATTTTAGGAAGATAATTGATAGACATAAAAGAAGAACATTTTTACATTGTGGGGTTCTCTGCAAAATTGCTTTGATGAGTTCTTCTAGAAGGAATTTTAAAGAGGCATTTCCCCTGCCTTTGAACAATTTTACTGCAAGCAATAATCCTGCATCCAAAAGCAAGTGTCCATTGACAGACAGGCTTATGCTAAATGTTACGCATTTGCATTCTATAAGCACGGCCAGTGATGCATCATGATTGATCTTTCTGTTCACTTACAAAATATTAGTCCATTGCTTCCATTGTTCTGCTAACTGCAGATCTGAATGGCAGAAGTGAAGGGGGGGGAAAAACACAATTTTCATCTTCATGAATTCATTTCTTAACTTTCTCATCCAGTTCCCATAGATCAGGGTTATAGCAGAGAGCCAAAGGATTGGTGAATCTGGTTGTCCTCAGCCTCTCCCAGAAGTCTCTTGCCATGTTTTATTTGGGAGCTTTCAACAGCTAAGCTTCCCAGTCCATGCGGGAAATAAATTTGAAGCTGATAGTAGAATGGAGAATCCAATAATTAACTTCTTCACCCCTGGAGTTCTCCCTTCAGGTGCAGAGAGGGAACTGTGTTCAAATTATGCCCTCTGGAAAGCTGTAGAAATTCAAGTTTATGGCTCCTAGGAATCTGTACTAGATTTTGGTTTCTGTGTGTTGATTTCAATGGTATCCTACTTCATTTTTTTTTTTCAATCCAGGCATAAAGATGTCACAAGATAGTTTAGAACTTGCGGTGCATATGAGACACCTTTTATAAATTAAAATCTACAAATTTCATCTGTATTTCAGAGGAAGCAGAGAGAAAAAGTGTATTCATGATTTTATACTGCACGTGTTGTTGTTTTTTTACTAGACTGATGATGGAGAAGATGACCTTAAAAAAGGCACCCAGCTATTGGAAATTTACGCTTTGGAAATTCAAATGTATACAGCACAAAAAAATAATAAAAAACTTAAGGCACTATATGAACAGTCATTGCACATCAAGTCTGCAATTCCTCATCCGCTGATCATGGGAGTTATCAGAGGCAAGTACAGTGGCACCTTAAAGGCTAACAGATTAGGCCAGGGGTCATCAAACTTGGCAACTTTAAGACTTGTGGACTTCAACTCCCAGAATTCCCCAACCAACCATGGATTGGATATTGGAAGAGGCATACTGCTAGTAAAACAGCAGTATTTTAAACAAGTTAAATTTACAATTTAACTTGTTTAAAATGTTTGTACAGAAACATGTTGCTTAACCCTGTGGCTATGAGAATAAGTATGATTTGGATTACTGCAAAGGGAGGAACATAATGGACATTAGTATTTTAATAAATAGGGTAAGGGGATTGCTAGCTACAATTTATTAGAGACGTTATTTGTAGAAATCATGTTAAGCTGGATATCGACAGGTATAACAACAGAATTAGGGAGAATGCAGACACTCTGTGTTACGTTTATAGATTTATTACCTCAAGGCAACATGTTGAACATGACCGAATTTCTTAGAATTGATTAGTATTGCTGGATTGGTGCCTGTGGGAAATTAATTAGGCTCTTGTGACGCTTGGAGTCCAGTTCCAAAAAGGTGCTTTGGAATCCTTGGCAGGCAAAGGTAGCTTCTATTTGCAGCCCTTTAAAATATCTTGATTCTTTTCAAGATCATGTGACTATGGCCCTGCTCATACTCTGAAACAGCATTTTGGAACTGAATCCAAGAGTTGCACAACTCTGGGGCGGGGAGGGGGGGAGGGACTGCCTTGGCAGATGGTCTCCTTTCCTTAAATTACCAAGCAGATACAGTCATGTTTCACTTCTTAACGTTGATGTGTATTACAGCTTGAATATTCTACAGATATAATGAGATTCCAAGCTTGCCGTTTGGGAAAATTCCCTCCGAACAAATGTATTTCTAGGTCTACCTTTTTTAGCAACAGTTTGAAGTTAATGTGTTTAAAAAAAAAAAAAAACAGCTTTGCGACCAATCCTCACATTTATCACTATTGCAGCGTCTCTCACAGTTCCAAGATTCCCATTCGAGTGCCTTGGAATTGGCACATGTTTATGACTCTTGCAGTGATCAGTGTTGACGTGCTTCACACACGACTTGCAACGAACAAAGTTAATGAAGACCGCAAAAGTAAAATTGCAAGTCGCGGCCACATAATGCTTTAGCTAACGATCATGGTGACTCACTTAACAACTGAGAAGGGATGTAAGTCTGTTCTGGTCATGTGATCTGCTGTTTAGTGACCACAGAGCTTAGTGATGGAATTGCCAGTCTCAATTGCTAAGAGAGGACAACCTGTATATAGGTTCACCGTAACAACTGAATGTTTATCCAGGATAGCAGTGTTTATCTTACATTTCCTTATAATGGGTAGTTGAAATAAGAGGTGTGCTTTAGGCATTATTCAATCCGCTTGGCTCTTTGTCGGTATTAATAAACCAAAACGTCAATTTTAAAAGGTATTCTGTGTTCTACGCGGCAAAAGTAAATCATTAGCAGCTGTCTTTAATTTTTCTCCCACAGAATGTGGTGGCAAAATGCACCTACGAGAAGGTGAATTTGAAAAGGCACATACTGATTTCTTTGAAGCGTTCAAAAATTATGATGAATCAGGGAGTCCAAGAAGAACTACGTGCTTAAAATATTTAGTCCTAGCAAACATGCTGATGAAGTCTGGAATAAATCCGTTTGATTCTCAGGAGGTACAGCTGACCCTTTCTTCGTTTTTTTGGTCTGCGTGAAAGAGATTAGCAAAAATATTTTTGTTATTGTAGAAATGTAAATATATATTATTTCCCATGTAGGCAAAACCATACAAAAATGATCCAGAGATTCTAGCAATGACAAATTTAGTAAGGTAAGAACTTTCTCCTTAACGAGCAAAATGAATAGCAACTTCCAAATGAATTTCACACAGTATGAACTGCTAGAGAAAATTTGAAATTTGTTTCAAAATTATCTTTAATTGCAGAACATATACATTCTTTAATTAATGACCATTAGAATGTAAGGGATACCCATAGTTTGATGTATCAGTGGTCCATCCATCTGTTATACTCCTGATGTTTAGTTTCTATGTCACTGTTACAAAAAAAGTTATTCCAGTTTACCAGATATTTTCTAAATTATTCGAGGCAATATGTGGCATGTGGATAAATGGGATTATGTTGTTAAAATCATATAGGTCTAAAACCAAAACGAATGGGACCACTAATTCCTTGCCCCACCTCCAAACCCTTAGTTAAACCTGGATGAGCACTTTGAGTGGTAGCCCCTGTATCATTAAAAAAAAGTAGAAACTATTCTATTTCACAAACTGAGAAATTACATCCTCCCCCAAACTCCTGATCTGCAGTCTCAGCCCCCCCACTCTCTTCCCAGTCAGAATTTCCTGTTGGGAAGGCTGCTCTAGATATAGCAATAGCACTTAGACTTACATACCGCTTTACAGTGCTTTACAGCCCTGGTTGTAAAGTGGTTTACAGAGTCAGCATATTGCCCCCAACAATTTGGCTCCTCATTTTATGGAAGGATGGAAGGCTGAATCAACCTTGAGCCTGATGAGATTTGAACTGCCAAATTGCAAGCAGCCGGCAGTCAGCAGAAGTAGCCTGCAGTACTGCACTCTAACCACTGCGCCACTGTAGCGCATATGCTCCCTTTTGGATTGCAAATATAAATGTATGTGCTCACTGTCTCTTTCAATCTGCCACAGTGTAACTCAGTGGTCTTTCTCTTGCAGTGCCTATCAGAATAATGACATCACTGAATTTGAGAAGATCCTGAAGACAAATCACAGTAACATCATGGACGATCCCTTCATAAGGGAGCACATTGAAGGTAGAGATTTCGTTGGATTTTGCACTCTTCATTTTCCACCTGCCCGGATTAATGATGTTCTCGGTTCATAAAACTTCTTTTGTACTGAACTAACATTAAAAGTACATCTAAAATTCTGTTAACCATGAAAATGTGAGGATTGAACCATACAATTTTTACTTTAATCGGTTTGTGATAAGGTGGTTAATTAAAGACCTTGGCATCATTTGTATATTTTTGGATGATTTAAATTTTGTTATTTTAATTCTCAAATATTTTCATTTGAAAATCAGTTATTGGATCTCAGAATATACAGGTAGTCTTTAAATTACGGCAGTTTGTTTAGTAACTGTTCAAAGTTAAAACAGCACTGAAAAAAGTGACTTACGGCAGTTTTTCACGCTTACAATTGCTGCAGCCATCCCCATGGTCGCATAATTAAAACTCAGATGCTTGGCAACTGATTCATATTTATGACGGTTGCAGCTTCCTTGGGTCATGTGATCTCCTTTTGTCACCTTTTGACAGGCCAAGTCAATGGGGAAGCCGGTTTCACTTAACAACCGTGTTACTAGCTTTAACAAATGCAGTGATTCACTTAACAACTGTGGCAACCAAGGTCGTAAAAATGGGGCAAAACTCACTTAACAAATGTCTGACTGAGCAACAGCAATTTTGAGCTCGGTTGTGGTTGTTGCACATATAGAGCAATCCAGCGATCACTGGATAGAAACACATGCATTTCTTTTATTTCTAACACTATCCCTTATTTGTGCAATGACCGTTTGCTTTTGTCTTCTTCCAGAACTTTTGCGAAACATCAGGACACAAGTGCTTATAAAATTAATTAAGCCTTACACAAGGATACATATTCCATTTATTTCTAAGGTACGTGTTGTACATATTGTTTCCGTAGGTTTTCAGTTCTTGTTACTTATCAGAAAGTTAGAAAAAAAAAATGTTGCATCTTCATATTTACGTCCTTGAACTTCTAACGTTTGGACCGTCACTTCTGCCTGTTTTTCCCCTTAGGAGTTAAACATAGATGTAGCTGACGTGGAAAGCTTGCTTGTGCAGTGTATACTGGATAAGTGAGTATTTCCCCCCCCCCCTTTTCTTCAACAATAAGTATTTTCAAGGATGTATTTATAGTGCAGGACATATAAACAGTGTATTATTTTTTTCAGTTAAAATGAAGTTGATGTTCAGTTGTATAGTGATAGTAAAATACTGTATTCAACATTATTCGGTGGGGAAACAGTATCATGTGGGAGATAAACTTAGAACATTATCATTTTGTATCGTTCCGTAAATATTGATTATATTCAAAAAAAGGACTAAAGTACATGGAGACATAGCCGACAGAGGGTTTTTTTCCCTCCCTCCTAAAATTTTAATGATTAACTCAGTAACTAATCACATCGATTCATAAGGATATAGTTTTAAAACATCAATCGGGTAACTATTGGTAAGGAGGCAGGTAGTTTATTGAATAAGCCTCCAGGCCATATCAGGTAATATCTACTAAAGATCAAACATTCACAGCTCCATCAACCTTGTCATTCGTTTGGGGGACTTTTTTTTTAGAATATAGAATAACAGAGTTGAAAGGGACCTTAGAGGTCTTCTAGTCCAACCCCCTGCCTAGGCAGGAAACCCTGCACCACTTCAGACAAATGGTTATCCAACATCATCTTAAAAACTTCCAGTGTTGGAGCATTCGCAGCTTCTGCAGGCAAGTTGTTCCACTGGTTAATTGTTCTAACTGTCAGGAAATTTCTCCTTAGTTCTAAGTTGCTTCTCTCCTTGATGAGTTTCCATCCATTGCTGCTTCTTCTGCCTTCTGGTGCTTTGGAGAATAGCTTGATTCCTTCTTCTTTGTGGCAGCCCTTGAGATATTGGAAGACTGCTATCATGTCTCCCCTAGTCCTTCTTTTCATTAAACTAGACACACCCAGTTCCTGCAACCCTTCTTCATATGTTTTAGCCTCCAGTCCCCTAATCATCTTTGTTGCTCTTCTCTGCACTCTTTCTAGAGTCTCCACATCTTTTTTACATCGTGACATTTTCTTCTGTTCAGTTGTGTCTGATTCTCCAAAACTGGCTGGACCAGGTCCCTGCAGTTTCTTGACAAAGTTTTTCAAAAATGGCTTGCAACTTCCTTTTCCTAGGGCTGTGAAAGAATCCCAAGGTCACTCAGCCGGCTTTACGTCTAAGGCAGGACTCCCCAGTGTCTAGCCTGATGCCTTAATCATTATACCAAGCAGGCTCTCTAGATTGGGGGATAGAACATAATAAAAACAGATGCTGGGTTAACATGTCAAATTATCTCACTGATTATGATTGTTTTTATTAGGAAAGAGGTATCGTTTCACTGTCACTTCCATTTCATCATAGCACAAAGTTTCAAAAGTTCAATTTCATTTGTTCTTGGCTTTGAGCTAAGTGTTGCTTTTAAAACAAATTTAATTTATAAGTAAAATTTCTAGACTTTAAGAATTCATTGATCAAAATTCATTGATCTTTCCCTGTAAAAGTTTTTTTTTTTTAAATAGGAACCTCTACGTATATGAGATGTTGTGTCTGCATTCTTTCGGGTTTTCCCCCCTTATCTTTGTTGCAGATTTTGTGTGCATGTGGTTTTTTTTTAAAAAAAATCAACTTGCATGCAATTGGTATTTGGAATGTATCTAGAGTTTCAGCTCTAAAGTGCCCTTTCTTGTTTTCTTCAGTTTAAACTCTAGCATACTATATTCACAATCTCCTGGTCACATTAATTAAGAACACGGTGTGGGTTTGGATTTATCTTGCGAATCCTATTTGAAGCTAAAATTACAGTAGCATTTATCAAATTATGATTAGTTTTGAAACAGATTTCACAAACTCTGACTTGTAACAAATTCTGGTTAGAATTAATAGAAGCACCTAGATCCGTGATGGCGAATCTATGGCACACGTGCCACAGGTGGCACACAGAGCCATATCTGTGGGCACACAAGCGTTGCCCTAGCTCAGCTCCAGCATGCATGCATACGCCAGCCAGCTGATTTTTGGGCCTTTCAGTCCCACCGGAAATCGGGAAACGGGCCGTTTCTGGCCTCCGTGGGGGTGGGGAAGACCATTTTCGCCCTCCCCAGGCTCCTAGAAAGCCTCTGGAGCCTGGGGAGGGCAAAAAACAGGCCTACCGGGCATATTGAATTATGGACGTGGGCACGCACGCGCTCGGCTCCCCACGCTCTCTCCCCCGCTTTTGGCACGCGACAGCAAAAAGGTTAGCCATCACTGACCTAGATTATGCTTCTGTGTAATTAGATGTGAAAAGAAATGAAGGAGGGAAGTCAAAAGTATTGCGCAAACTTGGTGAGTGACCAGTGCTCTCACCATCCGTGGTGTAGATGTATCAGTTTGTAATAACGTTTGTGTTCTTGCTTCTTTCAAGCACTATTCATGGCCGGATCGATCAAGTAAATCAACTCCTTGAGTTAGATCATCAGAAGCGGGGTGGAGCACGGTATACTGCGTTAGATAAATGGACCAACCAACTAAACTCACTCAACCAGGCAGTAGTCAGTAAGCTGGCTTAAACAAGAACAAGCTATGACGAAAATCTACTTAAGACAACAGCGCAGTGATGTAAACCTTAAAAACTGGGAATGGCAAAACTACTGTCGGTTGGTGTGCCCTGAAATTATTGGAGTTACTGGCAGAAGTGCTTTTTTGATCAGCTGGTTTGTGTTTTGCTGCTGCATTTATCCCAAGAAAAAAAAAACAGCTTTAATCTTCAGAAGAAAACCAAAATGCCACGGGATTTTGATGCTGTGTTGACCTTTTGCCCTCACCATGCAACACCCTAATAATCTGCCAAGGGGCACCTTACGGCCAGAGAGAAGGTTATGTTTGTCATGATTTTAATT